TTTTCACTCATGGAACTGAACACAGTTTGAAGCTCTAATTTGTGTTTGTCTTTTTCCTTTCTTGGTCTCCTATTAAACTCAAAGCTTGTAATGCCTAGATCTGCTTGGGGTTTTTGGGTTGATGTTGTTCACCATCATGTCCCCAGCATTTAGCACATGTCCCTTAGAGATCATCTTTTATAATATCTTCATTTAACACAGGAAAAAGTTGAGGCTTAAAGAGTCAAAGGGATTTTCCTGAGATCCCATTGTGAATAGCAGGTCCAATGCCCAAGGGCCTTGGTCTCCGGGAGTCCTGTCTGAGGCTATCCCACTGTTCTCTGCCACATCATCATTATGAGAAAAGCTTCCTCCCAAAAAATCCTCACGGTAGCTCAGAATGTGAGAGAGATTCAGGAGTATAGAAATGGCTGGTTGCTCCAATATCCATCTCCCTCCTCTCTTACATAATAATTCTGGGAGTTTTGGACCAGGAAAAAAAATCCTATTCCCAACCCACCTTAATGCTGGATGGCACTATGTAATCTGATGTTGGCCAATGGGAAGTGAGCAGAAGCAATGTAGCCAATTTCTGAATTGTGTCTTTCCTTCTCTTCACCGCTGGATGGAGAGCTAAAGTGTCGAGGGCCCATGTAGAGCCATGTAGGAGGAAATCACCCTGGGGGATGGGAGCATCAAGTGGAAAGCACAGTGTGTCTAATGCCATGGAGTCACCAGTTCAGTCCTGGTAACTTCTCTCTTGTTTAAGTCACGATCATAATGGATATCTTCCTAAAGTAACACAAATAATAAACTTAAAACACTTATAAACACCTGTGTACCCCTATCTTCTTAAAAAAAAAAAAAACCAACAACACACTACATTCTATTTTCAAGGCATCTATGTTGATAATGAGAGATTAGTCCCAAGAAGTGACATTAGATGGAGATGTGCAGACAACCAATCTCTGAGGAAATACACAGAGAAATCGATCCAATCACACACAGAAAGTCCCAGGACATGCCAACTGTGAGGAGGCCATAAGAAGAGATGGATTTCCTCCATTTGCCATCAAATCTCATTTCCAACTTCTCTACCCTCCTCTGCGTCTTCATCATCCTCATGGATGGGCTCCCTCTCTCTCTGGGTCCTGGTTGCTTTCAGTGGAAAGGGAGATAGGGGCAGACAGGAGCTGGAGGGTGGGAGGAGGGCGACTGGGGGTTTGTGACTTTCTGGCTCTTCTCTGCCAGGCTGTGAGTTAGCATGGATGTGTTGCTCTGCCTAAGGACTCCACTCCTGTTTGGTGGTCCTTTCCTACAACCACAGCCCTCCTGAGTTCTGGTAACTTCTTCCCCTTGTCTTTAAGCCTAGTGATCTTAAGGACCCTGCTATTACTTTCCTTAAGGGGTAGTGGCCACCATCCCATGTAATTTTCTCTAAATCTGCCCATATTGGTGGATTGTACCTTAATTAAACTCTTCTGAATTATCCTATTTTAGGCCATCTGTTTTCTGCTGGCATCCTGAGAGATACTGAAAGGAAAGTAAATTTCAAAAAGCAAGTCAAACAGATGACTGGGTTATTCACAGTACTTAAGCTTTGGGATGTGTGCATGTTCCCAATCTTGCTCCCTAAATTAAGGAAAGCAACAGATTTCTCACCATGACAGCACAGTTTGAATGGTTGGGATGGAGGGGCAAGTGGGACAAGGCTCTAATGGGGGAGGGGGGACAAGGTGGGTTTACCAATTCAGATTTCCACAGTCAGGGCTGCCAGCACCCAACGTGGCTGGAAGGTCCTCCATGCCTGCTGTCTTCTCCTGCAGGAGCCCCTGAATACTGCACCCCCAGATCAAGTTACATGGATGTGCACTAGAAGGAAAAACCCAACGGTGGCTTTGGAAATAAATGCTCCATCAAGGTGCCTTTCCTCCACTGTTTCAGCAGGAGACGACAAGCTGACCTGTGCTGAAGAGAAAGCCTCCTGTGACTGACCACTGCTACAGGACACTTCTCTGCCCAGGAGCAGGGGTGAAGCCTGGTGACGGAGTAAGACTGATCAAGATGCTGGACAGCCCCTGTGATTTCCTGTACAGGGATCTGTTGGCAAGTGAGAACGTGGGGTTCTATGAGTCACCACTCCTCATGAGATGTTTCTCGACATTTGATTTGCTCTACTCCTATCGCTTCACCTCTGCCCTTGACAGGTTCATCAGTAGACTGGCTAACCGCATTTCAAAGGATCAGTGAGCCTCAAGATAAATTACTAGAATTTTCCCAAACTGACTGAAAAAAGGGAACAGAGTATTCAAGAGTTGTGGGATGATAACAAAAGGTATAGAATATATAGAACAGGGATATTAAAAAGCAAAGAAGAAAAGGAACAGAAGATCTATTTGAAGTAATAATGGCCAAGAGCTTTTCAATTATTTGCAGGCACTAAACCATAGATCCAGGTAGTTCAGAGAACCTGAACTAGGATGAATAATAATAATTTTTTAAGACCCCTGTATTTGCATATTCAATTTCTGGGGGCAGCGAAACCACTCCATATGATACTGTCATGGTGGACGTGTGATACCCTGCATTGGCCAAATCCATTGAGTTATATAAGGAACCCTGAGTAAACGATGGACTTCACTTTATAATAATGTCTCTGTATTGGTGCATCAATTTTAATAAGTGTGACACATTAAATGAAGATGTTAGCAATAGGAGAAGCTGTGGCAGGGGGAGTGGGGATGGGGAGAGGGAGTATGTGGGAACCCTCTGTACTTTCTGCGAAAATTTTCCATAAATCTGATAGTGCTCTAAAATGCAAAATTCATTAAAAATGAATAGGCAAACCACCAACTGGATGAATATTTATAACACACATAACTAAGGAAAGACTCATCGGCATAAATAGAAACTCCTACAAATAAATAACAAAAAAGGGAAACACTTAATAAAAATGGGCAAAACTTAAGACACTTCAAAAAAAACACAAATAGCCAATAAGCACATGGAAAGATGCCAATTTCATAAGTCATTTTGGAAATGCAAATTAATACACAATGAGATGCCACTTTATACTCATTAGAATGACTAAAATTCAAAAGACTGGCAATGTTTGTTAAGAAGGATTTGGAGCAACTGGCACTTTTAGACATTGCTGGTGGAGATGTGCAGTAACACAACCACTTTAGAAAAGAGCTTGGAAATTTCTCAGAGTCGAGCATACATCTTTCCGTGACCTGGCAATATCACTTAAGGTTATTTATCCGAGAGACATAAAAACATATATCCAGAAAAAGCCTTGAAGAAGAATGTTCACAGTAGCTTTATTCACAATAACCAGTAATGGAATACTACATAGGTATCTATCAATATGAAAATAAATGGTGGAATATCTGTACAGTGAAATAGTACTCAGCTTTATTAAAATGACAAGCTACTGACATGCAATGTCACGGCCTGCATAAATCCTAAAAATATGCTGAGTGATACAAGGTAGGAACAAAAGAGTACATTGAATCATCCTAAATATATGAAATCAAAGGTCAGGGAAACCTCATCTTTGGTGTTAAAAGCAGGAATGATAATTTCTTCTGGGGCAGGAGGAATGTCTGGGAGGGACGTGAGGGAACTTTCCGAGGTGAAGAAAATGTGTTGTGCTTTGCTTGGGGTTTGAGTCACGTGGGCGTACTGTTGTAACTCACTGCACCTTTCGCTTATGATCCGTGCCATTGCTCTCTCCTAATTGTACCTCAATTAAAGAACTGAAAAATTATGAGACGATGCAATGTTTAAACTTAACATATTATAATTTTTACAGAACTTGTCATTTTAGAAATGTTTTTCTGTAATTGAATTAATAAAATGAACGTTGCGAGCTCTGTGGAAGAGAAGGTAAATCTGAAGAAGATCCTGTCCTCAGAGAATACGGAGTCTGGTAAGATACATTGGAAACGTGCCATAAAGGGGGTGGCTTAGTTGGTTAAGAGTCTGCCTTTGGTTCAGGTCATGATCCCAGGGTCCTGGGATCCAGCCCCACATGCCCCACATCGGGCTCCCTGCTCAGCCGGGAGTCTTCTCCCTCTCCTTCTGCCCCTCCCCCCAGCTCGTGCGCTCGCACTCTCTCTCTTGCTCTGCTCTCTCTGTCTCTCAAATACATAAATAAAATCTTAAAAAAAAAAAAAAGGAAACATGCCATGAAGGATCATAGAGCTCCAGAGAGGGAGAGCCAGAGCAGAGGCACAGAGATGGGAATGAGAAGGTATATACATGGGGTTCCTCTGGAGGGCGAGGGACAGGAAGTTACAGTAAGACGACCTACCTCAGACCTTAAGCATGCTTTGACTTCGATTTGCCCAGTTATAAAACTCAACTTTGTGCTTGCACAAACTGGCAATGGTGACAGAAAGAAACACATGGTGACTTGAATCTGGTAAATGGACATTTAGTACAGGCTTGGTGTAAAAATTCATCATTTATTTATTCATTAAGTATATTTATTCATTAAGCCATTTATTCAACAGACATCCATTAAGCTAGGGAGATATTCCAGGGCCTTTCAAAATCAAAGACGATAGCTCTTTGGGACTAGACTGCACTTCAATTCTTTTAATTTTATGGAGACAGATGGCAGGAGGGTGACCATAGAAAGTTGTGAGGGAATGTTTTTCTAGTCCCTCTTGAGCGCAGTGACCAAAGAAAATGTCAACTTTTCCTGTACCGTGTTCAGCCTCTGCTGAAGGTGGGATTCTTTAGAAGGGGACCTGAGAGTTGGCAAAGCTGGGGATGGTGTGAAGGTCCTGGGGGAGGCTGTCCTTGAGGCGCTGGACTTCAGTGTCTGCCTGACAGGCTCTGTCTCAGTCCTCACGAGGAGGACTGTTATCTCAACCTTCAGCTTTATCTTAAAACTTGAAGGCTTTAAGACCAGGGCACCCACCGGCTGAGAGAAGTCAAGAAAACCTCCCAAACTGATGGGGAGAGAGTTGGCTCTCAAAGCCACATTTGTCTGAGGGAGACAGACTGACTCAGAACACCACACTGCTTCCGGCCATCTCCAGAGTTTCCTGAGGAAGGCTGGCTTCACTCTCATCCCCTCCTGATAGGTCCTGCAGAGCCCTCTGCAGGACCATCTTGAGGGTCCTGTGCCGCTGAGCCCACCGCTGTCTACAGGAGCCAACGAAGAAGTAAATGATGGGGTTGACACAGCTGTTGAGGCAGGACAGGAGAACAGCAACCAGATAAAGATGCTTGAGGACTGTATCCGAGGACTGTATCAGAATCCAGTGTAAGAGGACCCAGTGGATGCCAAAGGGCAGGCCACAGAGGAGGAAGACCAGTACCGTGAGTGCCACAGTCGCATAGAGCCTGGTCAGCCGCAGCCGATGGCGGCCACACAGCGATTGGCTGAGCAGGGCCAGGCTGGACCCAGAGAGAAGCACAAATAAGAAAATCAGCCAGGTGGCAGCCATGAAATCAAACGCCCGACACCAATTGTCGTCGAAACCCCGAAACAGGAAGCCACAGTACTCCCCTTCCAGGATGCTCAGCAGCAAGGAGAGGGCCCAGAGCAGGGCACACGTCATAGCTGATGTGTGTTTTGGGCGGTGGCAGTGGTACCAGATGGGACACAGGACTGACAGGCAGCGCTCTGTGCTAATAGCACTGAGAAGGCTCAGGCTTGCGATGTAGGCAAAGGTCCACACGAAGACGAAAAACGTGGGGATGGAAAGGGACACGGAATGGAAGTTGACAAGCATCACCAGGAAATAGACAACCTGGAAGGAGAGGAAGAGGAAGTCGGCTCCTGCCAGGTTGAGGATGTAGACGGAGAAGGTGTTCCTCCGCACGCGGAAGCCCAGGAGCCACGCACGATCAGGTTTCCCAGCAGCCCACCGAGGGCAAAGGTGAGGCTTAGCAAGGACACGATCAGGATCCCCACGGGGAAAGTCTGCAGAAAGGCGTGGTCACTTCCATTCACCGGTTTGAGTGTGCTCTCCCAGGCTGGGGAGGTGGGATCCAGGCTCAGAAACCCTCCACTGGTACTCCTGGGAACACAAACAAGACGGAGCACCTTCTGGAAGCTCACTCCTCCTCAGGGCCAGCCTGCTACTGGGGGATTACTGTCTCCATGTTACAGAGGAGGGAAAAGGAGGCTTGCAAAGGTTAAGATACTCACCAAACACTGCGCTGCTTTGGAGTTCTGGAACCTGGATTCAGACCAGTTGTCTCTGACGCTAACGCTTGGACTCTCTCTACAGCAACACCGACCTTATACTAATGTGGGAATATTCCAGGGTTCACACACCTCTTCTTAACCTCCCAGACCATGTCAGGTCTGTAGGAGGCAATAGGAAAAAAGTCTGGACAGGTTATGTGTTGTGACAGCAGGACCCTGAGCTCAGGATTCCTTCTCCCTGGGACTGAGAATTCCTCTTAGGGGCCAGGAAGTTGGACCCTGCCATGACCTATGGACAATCTCAGTGACTAAAGGTGGTCCATCTACCACAAAGGAAGTCATGATTTAGGGTCATGAAGAGAATGTGACCTGTTGCAATGACTGGTATGAGTATGGCCAAACCTCTTGGCCAGAAATGTCTCAGCATGTTGGCTTTATGAGGACAGGAGATACTTTCCTCCTGGCCATTAGTGTGTCCCCCTAATGTCCTACTCTATTGCGAGGGACACAGTCTAAGTCACTCTTACAATGGCTTTCTTTCTAGAGCAGTCAAAATAATAAACTTAAAATATTTACGAGTATGTGTGTACACCACCTTAAAAAAAACAAAAACCCCTCACAAAACTACGTTCCATTCTCAAAGCATTAATTTTTTTTTAAGACTTTATTTATTTATTTGAGAGAGAGAAAGAGAGAGTGCACACAAAGCAAGGGTGTGGGGGTGGGGTGGGGACAGAGGGAGAAGGAGAAGCAGGCTCTCCACTGAGCAGGGAGGACACAGGGCTGCATCCAGGACCCTTGGATCATGACCTGAGCTGAAGGCAGACGCTTAACCAACCAAACCACTCAGGTGCCCCCGTTCTCAAGACATTTATGATGATAATGAGAGACTATTCTGAAAGAGTGACAGCAGATAGAAAGGTGCAGACAGTCAAATACATCTTGAGGAGTACCATGAGAAATTGATCCAATCACACAGAGAGAGAAAGTCCCAGGAAATACCAACTGTGAGAAGGCTATAAGAGGAGATGGGTTTGGGGGCCCCTGGGTGGCTCAGTCAGTTAAGCAGCTGCCTTTGGCTCAGGACGTAATCTCAGTGTCCTGGGATCGAGCCCTTCGTTGGGCTCCCTGCTTAGTGGGGAGTCTGCTTCTCCCTCCGTCCTTCCCCCAACTTGTCCTTCCCCAAACTCATTCTCTCTCTCTTTCTCTCAAATAAATAGCATCTTACAAAAAAAAGAGAGAGAGATGGATTTTCTCCATTTGCCATCAAATCTCATTTCCATCTTTTCTACCCTCCTCTGGGTGTTTTCATCATCCTCTTCGAAGGTTTCCCCCTCTCTCTGCCTCCTGGTTGCTTTCAGTGAAAGCGAGACACGGACAGGAGCTGAGGGTTGGGAGGAGGGTGATTGGGGGTTTGTGACTTTCTGAGTCTCTGCCAGGCTGTGAATTAGCAGTGGACATGTTACTCTGTCTAAGGACTGTGCCCTTGTCTGGTGGTCCTTTCCTTCTGAGTTCTGGTAACTTCTTCCCTTTCCCTTTCAGTCCTTGTCTCTGGGGTCTTCAGTTAGCGTCCTTTATAGATTTCCTTTAGCCCTGCCCATACCCATGTGACCTGTCCTTTCATTACTCTCCTCCATTACCTGTACCTGTTCGGGTACCATATTTTCTGTTAGGACAATGTCAGATACAAGGGTACAAAGGGGGAAAAAACCCAACTTTTGAACAGCAAGCAAATCTGTGAAACCTGATGTTATTAAAACAATTTAGCTTTGGAATGTCGTGGTAGAATGCCGCCTTGGTCCCTGAGCACAATACATCTCTCCATGGTTGCAGATTTGACTGGAGAGAAAGAGGGAGTATAAGGAGACAGGAGAGAAGTCACAAGAGCCTGGTAGGGGCCGTTTGGCCCTCCCACAGTCCAAGTCACCAGCACCCAAAGCCTCCATGAGGAAGTTTCATGTCTCCCGATTTGCAGTGGGGTGCCCTGGCTTCCGACACGCCCCGCCCCCCTTAAAATGGATTCACAAGCAAGCGGATTAAGAGGAAGAAAACAGAACTGTCTCTGAAAGAAGACAGTTCTTGATCAAACGCTTACCTGAGCACCATTCTTCTTGCTGGGGGTAGAAACTAGGAAAGGAAGAGCTTTCCTGAGATTGAGAAATAGCAGAGAGGACTTCTCTACTCTGTGGATGGCAAGGGGTCCAAGGCCACAGGTGTGGTATCTGGTGACTACCTGAGGCTTATCAAGATGTTGGACAGCCCCTGTGATTTCCTGCCCAAAGGGCACCAGTAAATGAAATCCTGGAGATATGTCAAGCAAGAAACTTCACGAGATGTTTTCATGTGCCATGACTCCAGTCACTTATCTTGGCCTCTCCCCGTTCTACCCCATCCGGTTCCCCTCCCTGTGAGAAATGGCTGTCCTAGGGCCTTTTGCTGCCTTCTGTGAGCCTGGGCAATAAAGCATCCACCAAGCTGTGTGAGCTTCCATAGCTAAAGAATTGATGGCTTGATGTCAAAGCCTGGCTTGATGTTCAAGGCCCGGCTTGATGTTCAAGGCCCTGCATGTCTTGGCTCACTTAATCTTTTTAAATTTAATCACAGAAGCAATATATGCACATTAGTTTTATTTCAAATGATGCCAGGGTGTATAAAGTGAAACACGAGTTCTCTCCTACTCTCATTTCTCAATAGCAACCAGCACTTCCAGTTTCCATTCTAAATTCTTCCAGATGCTAATATTATGACTTTGTATAATAACATTACAGTTCTGCTTTTGATTTGTCAATAACAACAGCAGGGAATATCAAGTTCCCTTATAAAAGATAAGGAATTTAGTGCACTGCACACATTGTCACCTTTCTCCCTCTACATCATGATATTTGTTAGCTAGCTTATTTTCAGATCAGCTGATAATATTTTTGGCCTTAGCTCCTATGACTTCCTCTCATGTGCCCATGCTGCGGCCAAATTGAGTTTCTTGCCACCCCCTTTAAAAACTTCACTGTGAAGCATTTAAAACAATCAGAAAAACTTTTTTACTCACTTATTCATTGATACAAAACTATAGCTTTGTTGTGAAGATTAATGGATTAATTATGTAACAACTTAGAATAGGAACTCATAGTAAGTCCTATATACTTGCTAATTCTTACCATGATTTTTTTTACTATCTCTTTCCAGAAGTCTAACTCAATATACGTTAAAGTTTCTTTTCCTATTTTTCCATATCATTTAAATTCTTTCTTATTTTCCATCTCTTTGTGTCCTGGTTAGCTTTCTGGGTAATTTCTATAGATGTACCTTCTAGGTGACTAGTCTCTTTTGCACTGTGTCTAATCTGTTGCATCATCCGCTGAATTTTAAATTTACTTTTTATGGTATTAATTTCTAGAAGTTCTTTTTTTAAAAGATTTATTTACTTATTTATCTGTCAGAGAGAGAGAGTGAGTGCACAAGCAGGGAGAGGGGCAGAGGCAGAAGGAGAAGCAGGCTTCCCGCTGAGCAAGAAGCTCGACGTGGGACTTGATTCCAAGACCCTAGGATCATGACCTGAGCCAAAGGCAGTTGCTTAACCAACTGAGCCACCCAGGTGTCCCTAATTTCTAGACATTCTACTTGAGATTTATCTCTTGTTGCTGCCTCACACTGTCAATTCTCTCTTTTATGTCTTTAACTTTATTGGGCATGGCCATATTATACTTCTCCAATAATTCCAGCGCTGAAGTCTATGTATGTCTGATTTTACTGCCCATTATGTCTTTTATCACTTTCACACAGTGCCTTTTTACTTTCTGTGTTTGTGATTTTTGACTATCAGTAGCTCACTTTTTTTTTTTTAAGATTTTATTTATTTGTCAGAGAGAGAGAGGGAGTGCACACGAGTGGGGCGGGGCGGGGAGCAGCAGGTAGAGGGAGAAGCAGACTCCCTGTCGAGCAGGGAGCTCGATGCTGGGTTCCATCTCAGGACCCTGGGATCATGACCTGAGCCGAAGGCAGGTGCTTAACTGACTGAGCCACCCAGGCGTCCTGAGCTGCTCCCTTTCACTGGGACTTTATCTGTGGGAATCCTCTGAGGTCTGAATTACAGCTGAGCTCCTCCAGAGAGGTCTTCTTTTTCTTTTGCTAGTTACCTGGGGGACCTTCCCAGCATTATTCATTTTTCAGGATGTCACCAGGGATCTCATCTGTCATTTGAAGTGTTAGGATCACAACGTGATACTGACTTGTGGCTACAAATTCTCCAGAGAGAGAATGTTTCTTCACTCAGAGCCAATTTCTTGGTAGTTTATTTCTCATTAGTGATCTCACTAATGAGAAATACACTAAAGGTTTAGTCTTTGGAGTTCCCAACTTTTGATTTCTGACCTTTGGTTTGTCCCAAAGTTCTGTCTTCTAGAAGCCGAATAGGAAATATGAATCTCCTTCATATTTGCGAAGGGGATTCCATTAAAGGAAGAAACTTTATCAGCTCTGTGCTTTAGAAACATCCCTCAGGCTGTCACAGGGAGAATAGATAGAATATAAATGAAAATATAAATCTCTAGTCATACTTCTACAATGGAAACAATTGCACAAATACTTTGGTATCTGCATGCAATAAATCCAATACACTGTTTTGTAATGTATAGTATATTTCCAATTTAACAATTAATTATGGAATCTGGTCTCTGTTCCTTCTTTGTAAAGTGAGATGCTTTCCAGCTGTGATGAGTCTAAAACTAAGTTTTAAGACTGGTGCCTATGGAGCTCTTTCTTCCTCCTGTGTCCTACCCCGCCCCCCCCCCCCGCCCCGCCTTGGATCTGTTCTGTACCAAAGAGAAAGGATACCTCAAACAGGGCTCTCTCCCAAGGCCAAACTTGATCCCAAAGTGACTCTCATCAGGTCCTTAATGGTTCCCAGAGGCTCCCCTTTCCATCCCTGTGATATACTCATGAGTCTAGGCGCCCTCCATGACCCAAAATTTTGTGTTACAAATTCTTTTCATTAGAGTCATTTAGTCATTTAGGTGTAATATAGGAAGTCCCTATGAAGAATAGTTTTGTTGCATGGTGTGTGTGTGTGTGTGTGTGTGTTTGTAAAAGTGTATGTGAGAATGTATGTGTAGCTAATTTTACTATGCGAATTTGCAGTTATAATTTTGGGAGGGTGTGACTCATTGCTGTATCTGAACCTCTTCTTCTCATTCTTCTCATTCTACTCCATGCGGATATCACCAGCAGCCGAAAGCCAAGTGCATGCAATAAAACCAAGGCCAGGATCGGGCGGCGGTGGGGGGTGTTGCATCTGATGTTATCATCTGAACTCTGAATCCCACTATGCCTGGAGCCATGTCGTCTTGCTGAATCTCAGCTGTTTGAACCAAAAATGTCTATTTCTGCTAAAACTAATTTAATTTGGACATATCTTTTGCTCGTGCAGCCACAAATATGTCCATATGAAAACATTGATCACATAGTGCTTTAAGCATCTGAGGACGTATTTCTCTCCTATTGTGCTGTGAGTGCTTTGAGAATAATGACCATGTCTTTGAGTCCCAGTGCCTGGGACAATGCCTGACCCAATGCTCAGCAAAAGAAAAATTTTAAGCATGTTCACTTGTGTCTGCAAGCACGAGTGACTTAGTGATTGAACAAATGACTTGGAAAAGTGAGGATGGGGAAGTCCTTCTAGGCAGAGAATTTTAAGGCCTAACTGTGAGAAAGACCTGGGCATAGAAGAACAAAGCAAAATGGAGACAAAGAATATTTGACTGGGTAGTCCGCTTTAAAACTTAACACAATATTTAAGAAGCCCAGTCCTTGTGGGAAATGGAAGTCATCTGTAGTTGGCTTAGATTCAGTATTCATCACCGTACAAGTCGGGGAGTGGTGTTTTGAAGAAATGGGGGAGCAGGCCACTGTGACCTAGAAAATCACAGGGGAGTCCAGGAATGTGGAAGCAGAATAAGCTGGATCTAGCAGTGGGGACAGAAAAGTCACTGGGTTATAGGATCCTTTCTATAAAAACCCACCGGAGAGTGGGCTCCACTGATCTCTTGGGTCTTCATGACCACGCTGGAAGACCACAGCTGCGTCATCAGAATGATGGCTGACTTCCAGTGGCCCCGACAGGGGCTGCGGGAGGAAATGGATCAAGATTAATCTGAACTGGCTGGATTGGGGGGAAGAGCAGTCACAAGACTTCAGAGCAGGAAAGAGAATTCAGTCTGGGGAGAGCAGGGGAGGACCGGAAGTAGGAAACTCCCTTGTGAGAGTGCTGAGCTTTTCTCATCCAGTTATGGTCATTCATAGTCCTTGCATAGGAAATCACATGGCTTCTCAGGCTCTTGATAACACCAAATCAGGCAGCCTTGTCTACAGGGCTTTCTCCAGCCAGAGGACCAAGAGTTCATTTCAGAGTCAGGAGCTCCAGGAAGGACCTCCTGCTTCAAGGGAGCTCAGAGCTGATTCTCTATGGGAAGTAGAGTAGAAGGAAAGTAAAGCCTTATTGAATTCTTTCCTTTCCATTCTGTTGCCTTGTTAGGTCAAACTGCTCTTGCTCAAACAAGATCTAGTTCCCCAGAAAGTCAGGGCCTCATGGAGATAGGAGTTTAGGGCTTTGAGTAGCTGGGGGGATCAGGGAAGCGTGCTGCCACCTTCATCTGACTGAGGAGAGCCAGCTTCTTCTCCATCTGATTCTTTGTTTCTTCAGATCAGCTGTCAGGGAACATAAAACATGGGCCTGGGAAGCTTCTAGGAATAAAAAAGTTGGGACGACCAAAGCTCTAGTTTTCCTAGTTGAAAAGAAAAACTTATTTTTCCTCTAAGAATCACTTGAGTTCATTCAACAAATATTTATTGAATGTCTACTTTGTGCCAGGTACTGTTGTAGGCACTGGGATAAGGTGTGAACATCACAAAAATCCAATGAAAGGATAGAAATGTGACATTCCATGTGGCGCCACTAGGTGGTAGTCAATGATTATTGTGGGGATCATGTAACCCATGGCTGGCCAGCAGGGGGCCCAGTCAGTGACGCTTGGGAAGAGGTCCCACTTCAAGTGGGCGAGTGAAGGGGAGCCATGTTATTTCGGGATGGTTATTCACCAGTGGCAGTGTAGCGCAGTGTCTGTGAAATCAAAGTGTGGAATGATCATTCCTGATCTCAAATCCTGGTTCTGACAAGGTTACTAATGAACTGAACCTTACTGACAGTTAAATTGCTTAATCTCACTAACCCTCAGTTACCTCAGTGAAATGGTGATGGCTGCCTATAAAGCTGTCATGAGGTACTCAAAGACACCAGTGTGTGCTTAGAGTGTGGTAAAAGCTCTATGACTGTCAAGAACTGCTTATGATGGTCATCACTTTTATTAGCCCATTCCTTCCCTGGAATCCCACAAGGCCTCTGAGGGTTGGTCCTGACATCCAAGTACCCCAGGCCAGCAGGGTCTGAAGCTACTTTGCACTCGTCAGCCACTGCGAGTCCCGGGGGTGGAGCTGTGACCTGGACGGGGGCCCTTCCACCTGCTGCTGTGTGACAGCAGGTGAACTCTGTTTCCACTCCTGTTGCTGTGTCTCTGTTAGAGTAGATACCTCGTGTAAGCGCGGACTGTAAACCACAAGGCACTATAAAGACGCAAAGACCCATGATGGCTGCTTAATTCTCTTCACCCCCACAGGAACGTTTGTCAGGGAGCTAAAAGGGTCAGACTCCCTGCTCTTTACCTTCCAGCAGAGAGCGGTTCCTCTCCAAGTCTTTCCGGCTTCGGGGAACCCCAGTGACCTCCATGTCACCCTCTTCTTCCTGGGCTCCTTACAGCCGGGCTGTCACCTGGTAAGGCCTGCTGGTTTGGTTTTCTCCAGCTTCCTCTGCCAGTGTTTGGCCAGGGTGGAGTGGGGAGAGGCGGTAGCACTCAGCCAGGTAGGAGCAGGCAGAGGTAGTGGGGCCTTCCTGCCAGGGAGTGGGGAGGTGATATGTAAACACCATGGTAGGGGAGTGGGCAGCCAAGGAGGAGGACAGAGGTGCAGGCCCAGACTTCCCTGAGGGCTGGGTTGCTCCTAGGCCATGTTATAGTTGCTGGGTGGAGTCGAACCTTGGGCCTTGGGAGCTGACAGATCTCTGTTTTAAAACAGCTCCTTGAACGAGGCCAAACTTTAGAAAACCCGTGCTGGGGAGCTGGGCCAGTTTACAGATAAGTATACAGTTTGGAGTTCCGCTTTGGGAAAATGGAGGGAAAGGGCTAAAACAGTACATAAGGATCTTTCAGATACTAAACTGCCCCTCCTTCTAAGCCTCTGTGCAAGCAGGCCTCATGCTCTGTGTTCTTCCCCCTTCTCTGCCTCCTGGAAGCCCCCTTATCCTTTTGGCCCAGTCAAGTTCCCCCTTTTGGAATATATCCCAGTCCACAGGGGCACTTTCCCGGACTGACTCCACAGCCCCTGTGCTCTCCCTACAAGCCTGACACAGCACATGCTGCTCTCTGTGGAGGCTTATGAGTGCGTCCTCCAGGTTGGAAACTCTGAGAGCTGGGACATTGTTATTCATTCATTGGCTCATTCATTCATTTGTTCACCAATAATCATGGAACTCCCATTGCTTGGCAGGTCCTGGATTGGGTGCTAGAATTTGCCCAGGGAGCCAGGCCTGAAATCCAGGTCCTGACTCCTGGCCCAGGGCTATTTCCAACAGACACCCTACGCCCCTCCTGCCTCACCTGGAGCCCAGCACCTAGTTGTACTTTAGGGAAGCAGTGCTCAGGGGTCCCCCTTCCTCTCACAGCTCTGACAGATGATCCCCTGGGGCATTTGTGAGCAGGTTCAGGGGGCACGTCTCTGCTACCTCCCTCTTCTTCCTGGACAGTATCAATCAGGTCACAATAGAAACATGCGCTTCCCTTTACCACCTCTGCAGCCTGACATGGTGGCCCCAAGAACCAGGCCTAGGCTCCAGGACTCAGGCCTGATGAGCCACTCCTGGCCATGTGACCTCACCAACCTCTCTAAACCTTGGTTTCCTCTTATCTATAAAAGAGGTAATATGAGTACCTTCTCCCTGATTTGTCATAAGAATTCTCGGAGACTCTGCGCCTTCCGTAAATGGGATTCTTACCCTTCCTGCCCCACTCCTCCCACCCCTGAGGCTCGAGGGCTCAAGTCAACACCCGACCATGGCAAGTCAGACTCCAACTTGGCAAACTCAGAGCTAAGAAGCCCAGTCTTCTTCTTCTGGCACCCAGCCCTAGATAGAGTAAGAATAAAAATGAAATAATGATAATACTTACAATAACAGTAATGTCGGTCTTTTTTGTAATTCTGACTTTGTGCCAGGCACTATTATACCTACTTTGCATTTATTAACCCATATTATCCTCACTACAACCATATGAAGTATGTGCCATATTCATCCCCCCTTTCCAGAGGAGGAGGCACAGAGAGGTTAAAGCATTGCCCAGGATCACAGAGTAGTAGCTGTCAGAAAGCAAGAGCTATTCTGTGTAGCTCGGGCACAGCTGGTCGCCACAGCAATGGCTCATTTAAAAGGTGAGCCTAGGATATGTCAAGTGGGGCATAAAAGATTTCCAACACACCTAGGAACCTTTGCAAGGACTCCCAGATGCCCTGTGAGCCAGACCTTTGCTACCCGTCCTCCTATTGGGCCTACCACGTACAGTCATGATTTTTGTTTTTTCTTTTGTGGTGGGGGGGTAGAGAGGGAGAGAGATAATTTTTTTTTTTAAAGAGATTATTTATTTAGAGAGAGAGCATGAGCAGAGGAAGGGGCAGAGAGAGATCTAAAGCAGGCTCAACGCTGAGCCTGGAACTTGCTCAGGGCTCAACATCATGACCCCAAGATCACAACCTGAAACTAAGTCAGTCACTCAACTGACTGAGCCACCCAGGCATCCCAGGAGAGAAAGAATCTTAAGTAGGCTTCAGGCCCAGTGCAGAGCCTGACATGGGGCTTGATCTCAGGACACTGAGATCATGAGCTCAGACAAAATTAAGAGTCTGGTGCCTTTTTTTTTTTTAAGAATTTTATTTATTTATAAAGGCAGGCGTTTGACTGAGACACCTAAGCACACATGTTTTGTGGTTTTTCAAGTTCTTAAGAGTTAAAAATGTTTCTCTGTTGGACTTGAAGATATTACCTTGAGACAGTAGGAGGGGAGATGTCTGGGGACCCTGTCTTCCCCCTTTGTTGTGCTTAGGGTGACTTTTGTTGGAGAGAACCTCTACTTATGTCTCTACTGACTATAACCAGAGATGGGTTATTTTCAGACATATGGAACATAAGTTAACATTTCCTTGAGCATAAGCCTGCATTTGGCAATGACCCAGAGATTTCCCAATCAATTGGGTAATACCAAGAAGATGTCAATTCAGTTTGAGGAAGGCTGGTAAGGGTTTACCATAATAAAGGAACAGAAAGTGCTGGTTGGTTATTGATCATTGCTCTAACCTTGGATGTAACCTTGGACTAGAACAAGCACTGGGCCGTGGTGGAGGCATGGCCATGAGTCCTGTTTGGAGCTCTGGTTCTGTAGCTTTCTAGCTGAATGACAGTAACTCTGAGCCTGTCTCCTCTGTCTGGGGATGACCGTGCTCTAGCAGACATGAAAGGTGCTTTGTAAACCAGTATGCGGGTTGTGATGGTAGAATGGGGCATGATTATAACCACTGCTAACATGGTCATACCCAAGACCCCCTCACACTTAGAGTGAGGGTGCCATTGTGAAACAGGTACTCAGGTTCCAGTGAGAGGGGAGGGTCTGGATATGTCACCTAAATAAGGAGGAGAGCCAGACACTGGGAACTGGAGAAGAAAGCCAGAGGACCCCAGAGCTAGGAGAAGTAGCACAAGAAGATGAGCCAGACAAAGGGATGGTATTTTTTATAACATTCCCTGCAGCGACACTGGGCAGCTATGGACAAGGGGCTTAATGGTTAGGGATGGGACAAAGTTCCAAATGCTTTTCTTTTTTTTTTTTTTTATGATTTTATTTATTTATTTGAAGAGAGAGAGATCACAAATAGGCAGAGAGGTAGGCTGAGAGAGGGGGGAAGCAGGCTCCCTCCTGAGCAGAGAGTCTGATGTGGGGCTCGATCCCAGGACCCTGAGATCATGACCTGAGCTGAAGGCAGAGGCTTAACCCACACTTACCCAGGTGCCCCCCGCCCCGCCAATGCTTTTCTAATAGGAAGTGTGTTGGCTTTAATATAGGAAGCTATGAATACTGATTTATCATTAGCAGGCATTTTGATAATTTTTTCAAATCTACCTGTTCATTTTTATATAGTAGTCCCCTCCCTTATCTGCGGGTGACACATCCCAAGACCCCCAGTGGATGCCTGAAACTGTGGATGGTATTGAACCGTATATATACACTATGTTTTTCCTATATATACCTACATACTTATGATAAAGTTCAATTTATAAACTGGGCATGGTAAGAGATTAATAACTATAATAATAAAATAGAACAATCATAACACTATACAGTAATAAAAGTTGTGTGACTGTGGTCTCTCTCTTTCAAAATATCTTGTACCATACTCAGCTCTCTTCTTATGATGATGTGATGATAAAACATCTACATGATGAGATGAAGGAGGTGAACAACAGTGTAGGCCTCATGACGTCGCGTTAGGCCCCCACTGACCCGACCCGGCCTGGAAAGGATTGTCTGTTCCCCAACTGCGGCCGACCACGGACCACTATAGCCGTGAAAACCAAAACCGTGGATGAAGGGGGGACACTGTGGTTTCTCGCTCTTTATTCACTTTTTATTCTTTTATTCCTTTAAACATATTAAGTTTTATATTCTATATCCCAGTATCTGAAGTCTTCGAGGGCCTGATTCTAAGGTTTGCTATTTCTGTTGCCTCACACTCACGGCGGTCTGTTTCCCTGTATGTATTGAGTGAACCCCTATTTTTAGAAATCTTATAAGTCCCTATAGCCTGGTTTGAGGAGCATGCCTGCAGGGAGGACTTTGGGATGCTTCGGTGGGGATTGGGATATACCAGTAACAGACCAGGGTCCACTTCAGATTTAAATGGCCATTTGGGGGGTTTTAAGACCATGCTACCAGTGTCGTTTCAGACTCTCACAGCACACAAGAGTCATCCAGAAGCTCTAAAATCTCAGGGACCTCTTCCCCCCAAGTGCTCCAAATCAGGGCTGACATAGGCACTTCTCTTTGTTTTTATTTATATCGATCACCGTTTTTCTCATTGTATAAGCCTTCCGGAGTCCTGGCTTTATGGGGAGGGGTCTCCAATTTGACTCCCCACCCTGCACGGGTACAAGAACTAGTGTCAAGTGTCACCCTCCCCTTCCTAGCAAAGTTCTATGCGTAACAGGTCTAGACGACAGGACTGTGTAGAATTCTCTAGAAGATGTGATCACTTCTTTTCTCAAGTATCTACTTGGACTTTGGCCTGGCATCACTCCTGGCCCCAGGGTCCCCTTCCTTGAAGTCTCTACCATTGACTGAAAAGCATTTTCTAAAAGGTTTTTTCCCCTAACATTTTGGCGTGTTTCCTGGGCAGAGAGTTTCAGAGCAGCTTCAGCATCACCTGAGAACATCTCAGACATGCAAGAATTTGGGGCTCCATCCAGATCCACAGAATCACAATCTGCATGTTTGCAAGACCCCAGGTGACTGACAGAGGCTGAGAACCACAGCTTTCCTTTATCATATCACTAAAACAGAAGTAGGATAAGCACTTTTTCAGAAATATTTTTATTGGCATATAATTGACATGCAACATTATACTAGTTTTAGG